CTGGAGGCGCCGAGTGCGGCGGGCCTTTCTGACCTCAAAGGGCCACCTCTCGGATCGGATGCACATGGACTGTCCAGCAACTTCCGTTTTGCTGAAGTAAATATGTTTTACTAGGTCCCCCAGCCAGGTGCCCTTTGTTGCCAACTTTTTTGGGGGAGGGTTCCCCTAAAATAGACTACAGAAAAAAGCTGGTACCCTTATTCTAACCTCTCTACCTAGGTTTTATGTCCCCCTTTTGGGTCGGGGAAGAGCAAAATCACTTTATGGTTTTGCCAAAATGTGAGCCTCGATCACAACTTGGGTAGATGAAGTCTATTAGAGACGGGGCGCAGCGAGAAATAGATGCGGCAAGAATTGCTTTTCGACTCTTTGGCTCGGTGGCCTCGTCAGATGTTGATTATGAATCAGATCCACCTCGGAGAATTGCCGTCGCCTTGATTCAGAAGGGGAGGGCATTGCCAATTGTTGGAAGTCTTCTCAGAAGTAAGGTCCTGTTGAATTTTGCGAGCTGACACGCTTGGACTGGTTTTGGAGTTGGACACATGTGGTTCTTCCATGCAGCCCCAGCCAGTGTCCAAAGCATGTTTGTTGTTTTCAAGGCACGCAGTGTCAGCTTTTTAACAGATACACCAAAGACCTGTGGATGAAATCGTGCAGTTGGTAAGTGGTAAGTCCTAGTATTCATAGGGCTTCATCCATACCAACTCGTGCGAAACGGATTTCGTCCATGGCGAAAGGGCTTCGGCCGGAGACGGCCGCTGTGCAGTCCAAGTATCGCGCACCCCCTGATCTTTTGGATGGGAAAGAGGAAGGCAACCTTGGCCAAAGTCGCACCTCTATTTTTGGAAACACTCATGTGGCTTACTTGAATGGCCTTACTTTGCTGGCATTCTTGCTTATTTCTGTCCACTGCTTGCTTTCAACCACTTAGAACGGGGGGCTCGCAAATGGCAACTGAACCATAACACAGTCGGGCCAAGAACAGTTTGGCGCCCAGTTCCTCTGTGTTCGCGCGATATTGGAGCATTGCCACTCTTTATTGTTGGGTGAATCGACTTCCCCCCATTTGTATCTCACTTGCAACCTTTTGACTTTGTGGCTCATCTATGTGGGTCAAGTTTAGGCTCCGCAAAAGGTGATCGGCTTGATTTCCAGCTCCGAAGTGGAAAACATGAGCTGTTTTTCTACTGATTTCAACGTGACTTGAGGTCTGATTCACCCCGGCTCTTCCCGTTTTGGGCCAATTCCGCCCTCAGCCGGATCCGTGTTGATCACACCATGGTTTTCCCCATGTTCAAGATGGTTGGGACGAAAATCATGTTGCAACTTGTGACATTAACATCAACCTACCCGAGCCTGTGCTCAGCAGCGTAAGCAAAGTGCACGATATTGCACGATTCCTTTTCTGCATGATGAGCATGACCCTCTCCAAGCTGCAGTCGGCTAGCAACTCAAGCTTCGTCTTCAAGTGCATGCAACAAGTCTGGTTTGAACAACTGCAAGCCGAAGTCGACCGTGCAGTGCCCTCGGTCAGCAGGAAGTGTGATAAGTTAGGGCACTGCCAAGATTTGGTTGCTCTGTTTGACTTTTTTCAATCCTTACTCTCCTCCCGTCAAACATGCACAGGCCTTGGCCAAAAATTCGACTCCCACAAGGGGTCGGTCTTTGCGCTTCTAATGTAGGGTAAATTGTTGTGTTGCTCTTTGGTTTCACTATTTAACTTGATTTGAATCCTTAATCTGGTAACATGATTGTTTTTAGTTTCACCATTTTCTTTGAACCCTCAACGTTGTTGTTTCCCACGGGAACCTGGGAACGTTATTCTTTCCCACAAACGAGCAAACAAAGACCTCCCCACAAACCCTTCGCCGATAGGTGACACGGCCAGAAGCCTCTCCGGAGCCTGCGCGAAGACTCAGCTGCACCGCACGAACAGCGCGGCTGACATCAAAGGAGGTTCAACGAACTAGGTCCCCCAGTAGTGCCCTTTCTCACCCTTTACCAACTTTTTTGGTTGGAGGGTTCCCCTACTAAAATAGACTACAGACAAAAAAGTCGGTACCCTTATTCAGATTCTCTACTGGAGGACCTAGACAAGATGGGGGCGATGTTCGAACGGAAGCGACTGCCCAGTTTGTAGCTTTCACCATGGGAAGTTCTCTTAGATCAGATAGGCCTCAGAGCAACTCTTGGAGTTGGCTCCAGCTTTGCCCCCAGCGGCGCCTTTGTGCACACTCAGGCTAACCCAGGGTACCCCCTCCACCAATTCCATGCTGAAGAAGAACCAAAGAAAGCCACAGGAACCTCCCCCCAAAAAAACAACAACACTTCTAATGAACACCCACCAGGTGTTGAAATCTGGGTCCTTGCCAAAATAGAAACCTGGGCCTGTCTTGGCTCGGGTGACACAGAATGACCCCGGATTCGAAAGCTTGACCAGGGATGTGTTTTGTTTGTGAAGTGATGGCGCAGTGCACAGGGCAGTTTGGTTTTACGCGGCTCCTGAGTAGACTTCTCACTTTCAGTCTTCGGGGGGTTGCGGGATGGTCTGCGCAAGCAACCATGCAGTGACCTTTTGCAGATCTTAGGGACAGGTTTCTGCGGAAAAACAACACATGATCCCTCCCGCAGCTGCAAACTGCAGCCTGTCGTCTTTGCAACCTGCAATTTGAGATTCACCTGCTTGCCCCGCCGTTCTTTGGTAGGAGAACCCACACAAAAAACAGCTGGGCACAGTGCAAAAAGTCCTGCATTTCCAGTGCTTTTCGCTGTTCGGCTGCGATACGGCTTTGCCGACATGACTCCAAAACAAGTGAGTTTCTTGAGGCTCCATGCTTGGTTTCCTTTGCTTCCCTTTGAATACCAAGAGGGGTTCCTCAATTTAGAGCATGGTCTCGTTTGAAAGGCCTGGCTCCGGTCATGGTTGCCACTCCACAAGAGGTCTGCTGTGTAGACGAGCGAACATGTCTGTATATGTGATCAAAGCGGGCGGGGGACCCAATCAATGATGGCTTACCTTGTCATTGCAAACCAAGGTGAAAAGGGTGACTAACAAAAACACGCACCCTGAATGAAGGATTTGTTCCAAGCACCCCCAAGCCACGTGACTGATTGTTCTGTGATCGGAGTTGACTGGTTTGGGCGTAGCACGAGCTGCCCGATTTTCAAGTCAAGATGGGCAAGTCCTATTTGAGGTTGCTTCAAGCTAAAAGGAACCCGGCCAAGGTTCCCCCCTTCTCTGGGATGAGTGTCGTCAGTTTGCACAGATTCGCCACATATGGACCAGACGCTTTGGGGGGCAGCTGAGGACGTTGAGACAAACTCATCAGCCCCGCGGCCCCAGGCCAAGTTGAGCCTCGAGGACATTGATGTGGGGGAGCCCGGCTCGTCCTCTCCGGGATTTTGAAGCGAGGGTGTGCGGAAATTTGCAGGAAACTTTGGGGGTCAGCTGAAATTTGTAAGAAACCTATGCGAGGGGTCAAAATCCAAAGTCTTTTGCTTTCTGCGTCCATTCCGAACCCGGCTTTGTTCAGCTCACTCCAACATCTTGGATGTTAGCCGCCTCAGTTCCGTGGAGTGATAGACTCCGTCGGTGCGGGTTCTGAGCCTCCAGACACCATTTCTTCGGCATTCTCTGGGACGCCCACAAAACCCTGCACCACTTGGGATAGATGGAACCCTGATCAAATAATGGAAACCTGCCACCTACCAGGGGGTGGTGTCCAACTGAATTTGAGCCGTTGCTTTGTTCTAAAGGCGCTATCGATCCGGAAAGTTCAGCTGCAGTTGAGGGATCTCCGCCTCAAGGGCGTGTATTCGGGCGGCATGGGGGCTAACACCGCGCAGGAAGGCAACCCTTAGAAACGAAGCCACAAGGTGAAGCCCCTGCGACCCTTTAACTCACTTCCTGAGTTGATGGACTTTAAACTTTTTGGGTTTGGACCATTTTAGTGGTCAATAAAAAGTTTAGGCTTTTTTTGGCCAGTCAACTTGGGAAGTGAGTTAAAACGACGCCTCCAGAGATATTCCGCGTTTGCACAATTGAATTTTGGAGATCGCTCATTTGGTAAGATCGCAGCTTCTCAAACCCGAAGCTGAAGACGGGAGTGCCTCTTCTTGAGGATATCACTTTAACTGTTTGTGGGTTTTTCAAGGGAAGCCAAAAGAACACCGCCATTTTGGACATGGATTTGTGTAGGACTACGCTGGCTAGAATGGCAGCCAAGGAGTCTGGAACAGCTTTCGCTTGCCGGTTCCATCGACGATGTTTCGCATCATCTTGTCGAGCTGATTCAGACTTGAATCTCAGCATCCAGGTTGTGTCACTTTTTTGAGGACACCCTTCCAATTGTTGCTCTAAAGGAATGCCAACAATAGCACCACCATTGTTTGTTTTTTTGGGGGGGTTTTCTTGATCCAGTTGCTTCCGAACCTGAATAACTTCACAATGCACATCCTACGCTTGGTGGCTAGGATCAGAGACCGCTCAATTTGTTTGTCTGCGGTGTGCCAACATGTCTTTGTGTGTGTGTGTGTGCGTTTCTTTGAGGGTGCCAAAGCTTTTCGCTGTGCGCCAAAAGGGCAACCAAAATGAACACAAATGGTGGGGTCCCAAAGTTGCCACATACCGGAAAGTTGAAAGCTCGGGTTGCTTTGCGATGTTCCTTTTAGTTCCATCGTTTTCCTGAATATGACATGGGTAGACGCCCACTTGGGGTCGACGAGCATTGCTATCAAGCCATTTTTTGACACCGGCATCGACAGGTTCCTTCTCGCGCCTGTGAGGCATTTGGCTCGAGCCCATGACCACGCCCTTTCAGAAACCCATCCAGCTGAGTTGGCCCTTTTATAGTCAGCTGGATCGCTTCCTTTGAGACGGGCAAAAACCCTGGATGGCTCTTTGGCATAGATTCTTGGGATGTTTCAACCGAAGCAGTTGATGCCTAGAGCAATGCATCCCACTTGAGGCGTTCTGGACATTTCCTAGCCAACTAGCACCACATAAGGCATTCGATTGGAGAGAAACAACCGCTTGGCGCGTCGGAGTGCCAGCCAAGATCATGTCCGGTGCTTAGAGCGGAATGTCGCAGACCTGTGATGGCTGTTGCCAGGAATTCACAGGTTTCCCATTCTCTTAACGCAGACCCCCAGTGCCCGGATTTCAATCATTTGAAAGTCAACGACCAAGAAAGAGTGCCCTTTCCCCAGCTCTAAGCTATGGGGTCCATAGGCCCAGACTGGTTCTGTGTTTTGGGGCAGATTTCAGGGGTCCAAAAGGAGGGCTCCATAGATATCTCTTGGGAAAATCTTACGCTTGTTGTTTCTTCTGGCCTCATTATTTTGCCATCATCAAAGTCACCCCCTGAGTGGTGGGTTAAAGGTAAACAACCACATTTTCTGACTTTGATAACCCCCAGACACCGTCAAAATAATGACCCCAGTTCTTCTCACGTAGAAATCCACTGGTCTGCGTACGGCACCCCACCGCATTCCGGCCTTTAGGCCTTTCGGCCTGAATTTTGTTTCCTGGGACCCAGGCGAGCGCCGCGGAAGGGTCGGCGGAAGCTTTAATAATTTCAAATAAATTAGAAAAACAAACACCACTCATTTGAGTCACAATCGAAACCCGATCTCAGGGTTCCTAAGGAACAGCCCCAACCAGAGATAGGTGCGAATATCTGCCCTTGTAGTCCTCTGCATGGTTTTGGGGCGTCCAGGCTATGCTAGTACCAGGTTTTCCTTGCGACTCGTTTGAGCTTGCGACTTGTTTGGGCTTGCGTCTTTTTTGGAGGGCACAGATAGGTTTAACCAGACACAAGCTCAACCCGTTCATTTCGAGGGAACTCCTACTTTTACCAGGTCCCCCAGCAATTGGTGCCCTTTTACCGTTTCTTTTTTTGGTTGGGAGATTCGGTTCCCCTACTAAAATAGACTACAGAAAAAAGTTGGTACCCTTATTCTAATTAACCTCTCAAATCTGGAGGACCTAGTTTTAGGTATACCCATTTGTCGGCTGTAGGCGGTTAGTCTCAAGGGGGCTTGATGCGCTTACGCAAGAAACCGCTATTCCTCTAAGCAGATCACGGCGGCCCAGTGCACAGGATGCGCAGGGTCGGCGCGGTTCACCATTCACCGGGAGGTCTGCCTATTTTTTGTGGAGAGATCTTGTAAAATCCCTACGGGAGATCCAAGAAAAGTGGGTGGGTAGTGAGCCCTAGGCCGCTGGTTTGGCTCGAGACACTTTCCCCGGCCTCCAACTGGTTGTTTGCTTTCACAAGCGGATCTGTGGGATGGCTGAAAACCTAAAATAAGTGTCGTCTGCAAGGTTTGTTTCGATTGCCAGACTTAAGTGACCTTTTTCCATTTTGAGCAGCCAACCGTGAACTTGTTGCAGTGGTTCTAAGTCTGGTCCTTAAAAGCCCTGGCGTACTGTGCACAAAGCCCTGCAGCCGCAGAGAGTTCATTCCAGTATTCAAATCGGGCTTCATTTGTCTCAACTCGTGCCTGGCGTTTTCTTTGGGGTCCATCCACAGCATCTGAATCGTATTTGGTGGGTCCAAAAATATGGACCCCTTTTTGGACCCCCTTTGAAAGGCGGGCCCCACATAAACCATGGCCCAGGGTCGTCATTTTTGACAACTCCCCTTTGGATGACCAACGTCCCAAACGGACTTCTCATTTGTCAGACGTTAGCGCGGCGTCCGCACCTCCGCCGAACGATCAGGCCTACGCCGCCCTTGCATGGTGGCTCCTCTCCTATGCCAAGGCGGGATGAACCATACGTGCTGCCAAGTACTCCGGGCGACTTGAAATGGGGACTAGAATATGCCAGGTTCTAGCTTATGTCCCCAACGAGTCCTTACCTGAAGCTGGGGCCTCTCGTAACTGATGTAGGCTCCAATGCTAGGCACATGAAGTGAAGAGCAGCCAGGGAAGCAGATGCTGTAAGGTCCCCCAGCTAGGCTTTTGTCGAGGATACCCCTTTCGGAGTGATTTAGGAGAAGAACATAATGAAGCAAACAATGTTGTCTAGGTCCCCCAGTAGTGCCTTTTTACCAACTTTTTTGGGGGAGGGTTCCCCCACTAAAATAGACTACAGAAAAAAGTTAGCACCCTTATTCTAACCTCTCTACTGGAGGACCTAGTTGAGATCGGTGTATGGTGATTCACCCAATAGTGGTTGCATACAAACCATCTTGCCAACTCGTGACAAAAGGGTAGACAGAATTGAAGGGATCGAAGCTGTCTGGTTTTCGAATCGAATCGATCTCAGCGAGCGGCCTTCGGATCGATCCCAAGACCCAAGACTTTGGTCCTTGGAACACCTCACCTCCCATCGCATGTGGCCTTACCTTTTTTTTTGCCATTCGTACCTCCCTTGCCTTCCTTGCGAGGCTTTCGTGGGCCGCTTGCCTGCGCAGGGTACAATCCAACATGGGCTTCCTTGTCTTGCATGTTGCTTTGTCCTTCTGAGTCAACCACCCGATGTCTCGTCAGCTACACCTTGTTGGGCGTTGGGAAAACCAACAGGGCCTCGAAATATGCCTTGTTGAGTGTTTCTGAGGGGGTGGTTCCTTTAACATCAACCCAACCATTGCGCCCAAGGTGTGCTTTTTCCTTGGGTTTGCCTGATCAAAGCATCAAAACCAACCAACACCTGGTTCCGTTTGGCTTCCCTGTATTTTTCCGCCATTTGGGGTGTGTCTTCTTGGGAGCTACCATTTTCCTGGTTCGCTATAGAAACCAAAAGGACGACCCGCCAACTTTGGGCGGTCAGCCAGGGCCACCAGACACCGCGCCTAGGCCGCAGACGACCCACGCAGGCGGCTTCGCTTCGCGCTTCGCTTCCGCTTGCCGTTCTTTTTCGTGGCGTCGGGTGGGTTGAAGCGATTTTCCAGTGCCATCTTGTTTGAAAAGGACGCCTAGCCTATTAAAAGGTGCGGATGTCTGAATTGTCTGCTTCAAAACGGGGGAACCTCCTTTCGGAGCTGCATAAAGACCGCCTCCCTTTCTGACCACCCCAAAGCGTACGCGAATAGGTGACCTAATTGGCGGGTCGTTCAACCCTTGTTTGCGGGGTAGGAAGAAACAATAGCATCCTTTTGGAGTGCCCCAGTTTTGACACCCACCAAAACTAAAATCCCGAGTATTCTCCTCCATTTGCCCTTTTGAAGCGGATGTTCATTGAGCCAGGATGTGGCTTCTTGACTAAGGCTACGGAGGTCACCAAACGCCCACGAACGCAAGGTCCTTCAAAAGGAACCCCTGCGCTCCATGCCGGACCCGATGGTACCCCTAAGAGATTTGTTTCCCAAATTTCCCCAAAGCTAGAACACCATGTGAGCTGGGCGGCAGTCACAGATCCTTGGAGGAGTCGCGGTGCAGTCGCATTTACGGTACCCTTTTCAGGGTTTGTTTCGAAAGAAAGACCAAAGTAACAGAAAAGATCTGCATTTTGGGGCCCTGGGGGTTCCCTATTCTAAGACACAAACCATATGCGCAACGATCCAAAGTTTAGTTTCTACAGTAAAGGGCATGACGTGGGGCACACGAGCCCCGAGATACAACAAGGAAGTAGGGGTTACTCCCCAAAATCCCTTGTTGAGGCCGGCAATACTCACTGTGGCTCATATCACCAACATATCGGGATTTTGGTTTCCCAGGGCCTCCCTTCAAACCCATTTTTGTTGCTTTCCTTGTTTGGGCCGGGTTTTAGCGCGTCCCGCTGAGCAAGCTTTTTCATTGACTTGCGCCACCAAAAGTTGGTCAACGGCCAGTTTTGCCGTTTTGCGCCTTGACCATGGATTTGTCGCGTAGGACGTTGCTTGGTTTTGAGTCAGTGCCACGACTGTTGAGTACTCTCCTTCCAATTCTGTTGGATCCCTCACCCGGCCACTGGACACAATTTACACTTTTTTCTTGGTGGCTTCCTCTTTCGTGTGGTGGTGGCCGAAAAAGTGTACACTTTTTTTTGGCAGGCCACTGGCGAAGTGATTTCCCAAAAAGGCTTCGTAGACCGCCAACATATTATTTTTTCCGGGTGTCTTCTTTGACTCTGCGGCAAAGGGGGATTCGGTTTTCTGGCGCAGGGCCTTGAGAAGGGAGGGTTTGAGGGCCTGCAACCTCCCAGTCAACGGCCACGCTGGCACTCCGCAGAAAGCTGCGCCATGCATAGGCGAGGGCTAACTCGCGGAGCGGGGCGGGCTGGGGTTTTGGGCCGCTTGAACGGCCGTTCATCTCGAAAGTTTTAAAAGCGTGTAGTTTTTGATTTGGGTAGCGATTTGGGCGGGGGGGGGGGGGGGGATGAAAAGCAAACCAAACCAACATAGCGCCATGTTGGGGCTGGGATAAAGAGAAAAATGCTATCAACTGATGCGAAATGGATGTTGTCCATCCACAGTATATATGCCCCTGGGCTTCCAAAGGCGAAGTTAAACTTGGATTTCCCGTGGGCTCCCGAGTAAACTTATCATCTTCGTATTCACGCCTTTTCACGCTCATTCACGGTTTGCCCTTCGCACGCTAAAAAGGCTACTGGCGTTTGCGCTTCAAGCCACGCAGCACCCAGCGCATGCTATGCAATCGCAGCCTTGCACGTCTCAGCAAGCCCCATTCAAGGCGGGAAGGTGCACAGCGACGTGCGGCCTGTTTGGCCCACCTCATCGCATCCTCATCTACATATGTGTGCACAAACCTTGGGTTCGTGTGGAGCGCTCTCACATCCGTTTCCAGGATATGGTCCAGCATCTTAGTTCCAACGTGTTCCAACGTTCCAAAGCTGTTTCAACCGCGTTGATCCATGTGCAAGCAAAGGGCATGGATTTTTGGCCGGATGACATAGGCGAGGATTCCCGCCCTCCCGGAGGCATATTGAAATCCATGTGCTGCATGCATGCACATGAGCATGAATATTCATACTCGAAATTCCACAATGCCGATAAATTAAGCTCAGGCCTCGCACACAAAGTGGCCAACAGAGTGTAGTTGGACAGGTAAGTCTTCCCCGCTTGATAGATTGCATTGGCCTCCAGGTCATTCCTGAATCAATGACTGACAATGTTTGAGTGCTGCCCGGCCAACGCCGCATCTCAAGGCACACGCTAAAACCTTGAGTTTCGAAAACGGTTTCACTGGCCATGGAACGAAATTCATTTTGTCCTTGGGGGGGGGGGGGGCAAAAAGTAGAACGGGGCGCACTTGCATATATGCGTAGCTAGTGTCAGATGACGGCCAGCACGCTCCTGCAAGCAGAAGAACCTGCACAGCGCGGTCCTCAGCATGGGCTGGGACCAAACCTTCCTTTCTAAATATGCGAAAGACCGGTTCTATTGAAAATGCAATTGAGGCGCTGGGCCAGAACTGTGGGGGCTAGCCGCTGGTTTTCTTGCAGTTGGGTATAACCCGAAGCTATAGATTTGCCCAAAGTTCGCCCTTCTTCGTGTGGCCAGTCCCGGCGCCAAGAGCGATCAGCACAGTCAGCTAGCCACTGGCAAAGGATCCGGCAGTTCCAAGCTTTCGACACCAAAAAATGTCCATTCGCAGGCTGGTTCACCTCACACGCCCCACCCCCAAACGGCGGTCACAAGGTTTGCGCCCGTTGTGAAAACATCCTGACCCGTCTGATTTTGTGTCTAGGGGAGGACTACTTTACAAACCCGACCCCACAATATATTGGAAGTAATATGTTGGACCACCCCCAACCTCGAGTACTGCATTCTTGGGTGCCCCCAATGGGGATTGGTTGATTTGTGAGGGATTAGGATCAGGCTGCATCCAAGATAAATTAACTTTGGTGGGCAACTTGGGGCCAGTCTTATAAATAAATTAATGAAATTGAGTTGCAGACTGGTGTCATGGCACAAATGCCTCCCAGAAAGCATCACTAAGCCGATTCCCACAACAGGCCAAGCCACACTCTTGACGGAGAAGCGTTTATGGCTGCATGAGATTTTGTTGATCTTCTTCCACGAGCAGAAATCTGCATAGCTGGAATCCAGGTTTTGTTTGAGATCAGCATCAAACCGCCCAAATGCCCCCATCGAAATGAGCAGCATCCTGCAGGGCACTGTAAGGAACCCTCCTCCTGAGACGCTGAATTTAATGTGTGTACCCAAGATGAGCCGAGCGGCAAACATCCTCCATTTGAACTTTGGGCGAGCCCCAAATTCAGTATATGCATTGTGCAACCTTTGAGAAGGCACACGTGAAAATCTCGAAGGTATGTAAGTGGGCCTTGGGTTTCTCACAGCTCAGGCTCACAGGCGCTGCCAGGCTGGGCGGATGCTAGGCTGGCAACACTATGGGCAGGGTTCGTTAAAAGTTAACAGAAAATTGTGGTTGCCCTTGTAGCCTACCGTTTGGTGACTTTGATCCTCAAAATTAGAAGGAAAAGACACAACCCACAAAGAAAACAACCGCAGTTAATTGCTGACCTGAGGCACATGGCAAAAATGGCAGTTCTTCGGCCACAAAACGGGGTGTGTTGCGCTCGGTCCCCATCCAAAGTGCTGTATTTGTGTAAAACCTGTTTGTGATATTTGCTCCGCACCTGAAGCAAACCTTTTTGGCCCCCCAATAGGATCGGTGGCGGAACAGCATTCGAAACCAAGCTTGGTCTCCACGTAGCTCGGCTACACAACACCGTATTTTCTCCGGAAATAGCACTTGGCCATGTTCATCACACCCGTCGTAGCAAAGATTCAGGCTTGATGTGATTGCGTGCAAGACAGGGCGTAGGGTCTCAAGCGGCGGGCTGGCCATGATTTCGCTGCGCATTGCGTAAATCAAGAAGCGGGAGCATCTCACAGAGGTAGGTCGAAATAACACCACATCAATAAAGATGCAGGCCACCTTTTGGTAACTGTTGTTCTCATAAAGGACTGCTTCGTCGCCGTACACTCCCAGCGGCCAAAAACGCCCCTGGCAAGCCTCTGAGTTACACGCCCAGGGATCATGTCTTGCTTCAAGGTGTGACCAAAATTTGTTCAGAAGAACAGGATCAAGGCGCAGCCCAACTTCGCATATCAAATGTTGTAGCACTTTGTGGGGAAGAAGCACCGGCATGTTCATCTGCTGGCGCTTACCGTTTAGAACCACCGGCACAGAAACCTCAATGGGCTCCTAAGCGCACACATGCACATGCACACATGCCTGGAACATTCACGCGCAACACCGACATGCGTAACAACCGCAGCAAGCCACACACACACAGCTCAATAATCACACCAGGTGCAAAAATAGTACACGTGTCAGAACGAAATGCAAAGGGCATGCATGTGCGTGCAAGTTACACGCATACAGAAAACTGCTGACCTGACATGAATCAAAAGAGTTTGCAAACGCATTTAACGCAAAACGCACGTTAAACACAACACATGTTCGGACCCAGTTGCTACAGGCAGTGCCACATGGCGAAAGAAATCCCGCGAAGCATTCTTGCCAGAGCCGACCTTGAAGCGAGCCATGCGATTTGTCCAGTGAGCAACATGGCCACGTGATTCCTCGGTGGCAAGGGCAAAAGCTTAAAGCACGGTGCTGGTGTGGGGCGATAATCAACTGGCGCATAATGGTTTTGACAGGCGTCTTCAACGCTAGCCCTCGCAGTTTCGATGGCGGACAAAGCACTGATTTCCTCGGCGTTTGCAAAAATGGATCATGCATGTTTGGGAGTTGTAGGGCGTTGAAGGGTGCTATTTTCCCCCCTTCAAACTGTGTATATACACGATTTGACCTTGCAACGCGGTTTCCGAATATCCCCAGTCGATTGAAGTGGGTTGTGTTTGCAGCAATCCTGCATCAATATTGACTCGTTTACCCCAAAAGCTCCTGCCGAAAGCTGCTATCATGTATCGAATGTACCGGCTTGGGGCCGACCCGCAAACACTATGACCCCTAGATTAAATTGCTTTGAACATATTTGGCAAGTAGCCCCTGCAGCCAGTCGGTTAACCAGTAGCTGTTGCACGGGGCCTGCGCCACTGTCGCGCTCATCTTCAGCATGAGAGGCTCCACCTGCGAAGGCGTAAGCTGACACACAAGCAAAGATGCTAGGCTATGTGAGCTGCAGTGCACACAAAACCGCGCTGCCTAAACCATGCACACATTTTGATCTCATGATGCCATTTGCACGGCAACTGCCCGGAGGCCGACGCAGCTGGACTTTGCGCATCCAGGCTGGCGGCCACTTTTTGCGACAAGGGTGGTGGAGGCCAGGGTTCATTGACTCCCAAAGCAGACATGCCAACATGCCAACCCCGTGCGCCAGCCATGCTCTGAATTGTGCGTGCATGACATGTGTGGTTCTTGGTTCGGCACGCACAGGTTCCCTGACATGTGTGGCCTAAGCCTGCTAGCCCTGCAATAAACCCTAGCACCTGCCAGTACTTGATGCCGGGCCACTGAAATCACTGAAAACACAGATTTCTTGCCCCTAGCACAGGTCCAAGCTGGCACAAGCACCAAGCAGCCTACTTCGAAGCTCGGGGCCTTTTTGGCTTCCCGGGCATGATCATGCCAAGCGATTTCTCAAACTCAGACTTGAATTCCCGGCATGGGATCATCAAGTTCTCCAGATCTTGGTCCTGCGATTCTGCATGGAAATTCGGGAGAATTCAACGGATGGCTCAACGGCAAACGCTTTGAATTCTCAACCCCAAGGTCGACCTGGCACCCTTTCGATATCGATCACCGGGCACAGGAAATAACAAACCAAAGAGGTCCTGGTTCGCTTGCAGAGCTTCAAACAATCTAGAGATGGCCGACTCGAACTGCGTCTGCTTCTGGGCCAGGTCTTTGTGCAGGGCTTCTGCAACAGCCGGGGCCCTGGGCGTGCCAGGCAAGGGGCTCAAGGTGATCGGCTAGTATTCAAAAAAGATCGTACTTAATTCTTTTGTTCTGAGTTCCCGATGTGTTTTTTAGGAGGGGCCTCATGGGGCTTAAAAGCAATAGGTGGGGCAAGAAGGATTCAAATTGGCTTGGCGTGAACATAGGACATATCATTTGGAGTGCAGGTGCTGCCCACCAATAATGCCGAGGGGCAAGTGCGAAAGATCCTTGCAGGATGCCTTGGCCTTTTCGATTGTGTCACGCGAGGACTCCACGAGCTGACAGGGGCAGGCATGTGTGCAGAGCCGAATTTTGCTCATGCAAGTCAAAGCACAAATTGAACATGAGTCC